TATTGGAAGATGATGAATATTACGACGTTACAATTGAAGTCGGCGAAGATCCCAATGTAAAAATATTCCGTGCGCATATGAACATTTTATGTTGTCGTTCTCCTTATTTACGAAGAGTTTTATCTTCAAATCAAAGGAATAATAATGATGTCCTGAATCACTTGAAGTTACAGAATATTGCTCCGGAAATCTTTCAAATTATTTTAAAGTTTAGAATTGATATTTTTCTTTTTCTTATTTGAAACAATTTTTTATTAATCTTTTTTTTAATCCTTTTTTTTTTTTGTAATATAGATTTATCTATGGTGGCGTACTTTCATTGGACGAGCAAGATGCTTCGGACATTCTTAAAATGTTGACGGCTGCTGATAAGCTCTTTCTTCAAGAACTAGTTGATTATTTGCAAAAGTATTTACTTGAAAAAAAATCCGAATGGATGGAACAGCATTTTGAAATTACTTATTTAACAGGCTTTCAATCGAGTAATTTCCTGGCACTTCAAAAATTCTGCACAGATTTAATGGCTGCATCACCCGAAAAAATATTTAAATCATTTGATTTTACGTCCCTTTCTGAAAGAGCGTTAGTTTCGCTTATTAAAAGAGACAATCTACAAATGAAAGAAATTGAAGTTTGGGAACATGTATTAAAATGGGGATTCGCGCAAAATTCAACGCTTATCCCAGATCCCTCAACTTGGACAGATGATGATTTTAATGCAATGAAAATTACTTTACAGCAATGCTTACCATTAATCAGATTTTTTTGTTTATCGTCTAAAGAATTTTTTAACAAAGTTAGACCGTATAAAAAGCTTCTCGGATCTCAGCTTTATGAAGATTTAGTTAGTTCTTTCATGGATCCTGATAGTACACCAAATGAAGGTGTTTCAATTCCTAGGAATATTAAAATTGATGGAATTATCGATACAAAAATTGTTAATTTCAATATTATTTCAACGATTTCAAGATGGATTGATAAAATTGAAATCAATAAGAATTTTTCTCATTTACGTGAATTATATTTCCCTTATAAATTTAAATTATTGTTGAGAGGTAGTCGTGATGGATTTACTCCTAAAACGTTTCATGAGTTATGTGATGAGCAACCTTATACTGTCACCTTTATTAAAGTAAAAGGAACAGAAGAAATCATTGGTGGATATAATCCTCTCATATGGAAAATTACTTATAAATTGGGTGAATCTAAAGATTCTTTTATATTTTCCTTTAAAAACAGAGGTAACTGTATTGAAAATGCAGTTTTAAGTAATATTTGCAATAGTGAAATATTTGCTTATAAAAAGAGTAATGGACCATGTTTTGGAATATCTGATATTTTTCTTAGTTCATCAAATGTATTAACAAATTATGATGTAATTTATTGCAAAAAAGGTAGTTATGAAAAAAATATAATGGAAACTGAAGATGAAATTTCTATAGAAGATTACGAAGTATTCCGAATCATTAAGAAATAAAATACTGTCTTTTGATAAAATAATAATACTTATTTAAAATTTTTAATTTTTATTTACATGAAATGAAATAACGATTTTTTTTTTTTAAAAAAAAAAAATACCACGTAAAATGTCAACACCGGACCTTTTTTTTTCATTTTGATTTACTTTATTACAATTTAGGTTGTCCGTTTAATCACCATGATTGGTAAAAAAATAAATTGGTCGTATTTTATATAAATATCCACAAACGGAAGATTTTTTTTAATCAAACCTTTTTCTTTATACTTGAAATAATTTTACACGATTTAATTACGGATCTGTAATACATCAATAATGGTAATACTTAGTATTGCATGATCTCCGGAAAGAATCTAGGTTCTATCAAGCAAAGCCTAGAGAAAATCCTCGAGCGCCATTTTCATCTCGATCCATTACAGTTCACCAATTCCGAAAGTTGTACACCTCGGACCCTCCAATTTTTGAAATTTTCCACAACAGCTACAAGTAACAGAGGTAAAGTTATGAACTCCCAATTCTCCTGCTTTGGAATTTATAATATGCCCAACAAAGCATTTGCCGAACTGTCATTCGTGAAATTTTCTTGTTTTTCTATTTTTCATATTTGAAGTTTCAAAAGGTGGAATGATGATAGCATCAAATTCACGAGTGGAAAATGAAACGGCTTTTCTATGTATTTAATTTTGCAAATGAAAGGATATTTGCCTCATAAATGCCAGCGCTTTAAGCCTTATTTTTTTTGCATTTGGAAGATGGCCTATTAAATTTGCTTTTTTTTTTTTGATATTAATTTGTCCATGTAGATGTAAGACGAACAATTTCGCTCAATGTCATGTTCACCAATCTTAGCTACAACTTTTGTTGGAGAATGGTGTTCTAACCCCTGGATCAATAGAGACTGCATGAATACCATCTGCTTGGGCTTTGTGAAGATGTTTTTGTATCTTATTAATTTGGCGAAAATAAGTAAGTTTGCTATCACAAGAAACCTTATCGGGAATAGGCCATTTATTATTTTTACACTTCGTTTCAACATGAAGAGGCCATTACGCACGCTTGTTACTGATTATTGTGATAGGCTTGTGGCGATGTGAAGTATACCTTTGATGGAGTGTGATGTAAAATGGTCTCATATTGAAGATGAAAAATTTTGGGCACAGATGGTAATAGTTTGTCGTAAATCTTTAAAGTTCGAAATGATAGAGAACTAACAGATTCACTTCGTGCAAGTTGAATATTCTGTTTAGTAATCTTATTTCTAGCAGTTAAAGCTTCATCAATTTCTTCATCAGTTATATTTGCAGGAGCAAAATTTAATGTTCCAAGTAGTATCATTCCTAAACAAATTACAGCTCTCAAAATTTTTTTCGCCCCAGATAGCTGAATTGATAAGTTTCTTATCATTTACTTTGTCAACATTTATTCCAGCTCGGATGTCAGGAAGTTTTTGTTGGTAATTCATAGGATTTATATATTTCTTTTTTTTGATGCCACCTTCCTTTGTGAAATAACACCTTTTGCTTCATTTTACAACAGAATTAAAAGCAAGCCTCGCCAATCCCATCCAACGTTTCAATAATTGTTTTTGAGAATGGTTGGGGTACACTTTGACTAGTAGTGTACGATTGAGAGTCTCTTCTGAACGTTTTCGTTTTAGTGCGTGCTCTTGTTGCACAGGCTTTCCTCTTCCTGCTTGTTTAGCCTGTTTTGACATCCTCGTTGATGTAGGGCAGCTCTTTTTCCTTGCACTCGAACAGATGAAGACAGTTGATCGCAAGGATATCCTGGGAAAGTTCTTACTCGTATCGTTAAAGAAAACCATGAGTGGAGGAAAAGCACATACTGGATGAGGTCGAAGGCAAACCGGCAGAGTCGGTAACCACAATTTCCGAGATCCTATTCCACGACTTGTCCGTTCCAATGAGGTCTTAAGTCCCAGTCGTTTGAAGAGCCGATGTCGCTGACTAGTTCATAGATTGGAAATCGGTAGCTGAGGAGTTGTTTCTGCCATTCAAGGTCTTATTTTTGCTTGACACTAGAGCAGAGGAACTCGTTCTGGTGGTAATGGAGGTGGTGGTATTTTGGCTGGAAAAAATATAAAAGATATGTTGTAAAGGCGAGTACTAGAAAGAGACGTTTTAGCAGTAACTTTTCTTGCTTTGACCAACGATGCAAGATGACTTACGAGATGCCAAGTTTCTTAGTTGCTTGACGTGCAGATAAAATACATAGGAAAAGAACTTAAGAAAGATGTGGGTTACAATACGATTTTTATTGATTAAGTTTATCGATGTTATTGATCACGTGAACTAAAAGTCATTGTTTTTCCGGCCTAATGATTTTTTTATTATTAGATTATTGAACAAGGATGGAATCTAAACAAAAAAATCAATAAAATAATAATCGTAAATCAACTCCTCCTCATCTATCAAGCTTCGTCGTCGTGATGACGTAAAAGTTTTATTAACTCGCAAATTACTTTATCAAATTTTGATGGATTTTATTGTAAAGTTTTCGAATATAGGAAGCACCTCTCCTCATTTCCACTTTCGTCGAATGAGGTAAATATATGCATGCAAAAGATCCAAATCTATCACAACGTCTTGCATGCATCCAAAATTTTTCACATTCGAATTCTTTTATTGTTATTCTTTTCTATCTAACTCAATACACCCATTTATATTCAAACCAATCATGGTATTTCTTATGCATGCGTTAGTTTTAGTCTTGATTAAATTGCCTCAATGGTATGATTATTCATAATATAAGCTGACCATTGCAACAGAAAGAAGGAAAAACTGCCGGAAAAAAATCAATTTTACTTTTTTATATACCAAATATTTTTAGGTCAAATATGTTCAGATTTAGCATTAACTCATGTTTTATTGTTTTCAGCCATTTCCCCTCTTTTCTATTGCAAAGGTCCTATATGTAATTAATCTCAAAATAAATCTTTTCCGATAGCTTAGTTTCTGACCACGACTCGAGGAATTTATGCGATCGCCAAAATATCATGAATGCTTGTCGGGTTTCTACTGCGTCAATGACATCTTGGGTCGAGCAAAAAATCAAATTGTCAAAATTTTTAGAAATTTCTAAAGTGAAAATTTTTATCACGAAATTTATAAAAATAAAGTTTTATAGTCGAATCAAATAAGTATTTCACGTGAATATCGTACCATTGGAATTATTTTCTTCGAGATTTTTTATCATGAATTTATTTAATGTACTACGCCACAATTAAAATAACATACGCGAACGAGCAATTAATAAGTTGAAGGGTGATAATTTAAGTAAAAAATTATAAATGATTTATTCAAATAAAATATACCAGTACTTTAAATGTATAAATATATGAATTTTTTTTTTTTTTTTAAAAAAAAAAAAAAAAAAAAAAAAATATACCCCAAAATTTGAAAAGAATATATACATAATAGTGTGGTGGAGTACCTATTAAGAATGTCTAATAATATAATAAAAAAAAAAAAAAAAGAAAAAAAGAAAAGCTCACCAAATCCAAACTTTAAATCATGAATTTGAAATCGTCATGTAAAGGAGCACGAATTTCCAATATACCTTCTTCGAGATATTTGTGGAGAGAATTCATCTCAAAATCATAGTCATCGTCAAATGACTCACTGTTTGAATCCATATCACCGAAATGTTTATTACCATACTGAGAGTCGGAACAATCGGAACCATCATAATCAGAATTATAATTCTCGAATTCGAAAATATCCTCTTTTCTTTTTTGTATTCCTCCTATATACCCGATATAGTAGACTTTAAAAGGTGCGATCGATTGTCGTTGCTTCAAAAATGCTTCCAAAGTACATTTCATCAAATCCCAATCCCCTTCCAACATGAAATGAAATATTTTACGAGGAGCGCATTCTCCAAGTACATTCAAAACGTCATAAATATCACAAGCGTCAAATTTATCTTCGACGAAATTAAGCCCAAGGCTATTCAACTTTTTACATTGCTTGCAGAAAAAACGTAACTGTGTTTCATTTATAGGGTCGATTGGACCGTGAAATGAGATTATATTCGGACAGCTATATGCCACCGCGTCTAATATTAACCCTGATTGTTCATTATCAAAACTATTCTGTATTTCTATTTTAACGTCGATCAAGTTTTTACCATTCTGTCTAATAAATTTGGCAATCTTGCTTAAATCAAATGAGGCTGCTCTAACGTAAAATTTATGTAATCTTTTAAATTTCATCCTAACTAGTTTATCCTCCGTTTCTTGCGGCATGTCATCAAAAAAGTATAAGGACAATTCTCCCAAATTTTCACATAAACTAAATGTTTCAAATGGAACTCCTTGATATCCATGTATTCTCAACCTAACCAAAGATTTTGCTTGCGTCTCCAATGCTTTACCAATTTCTTTATTTTTATATTGTAAGTCATCACGAACCTTATTATTACAAATAAATTCTAAATTTCGTAAAGATTGTTGTGTCTTAATAAATTCCGTTAATCCATAACAATCATCAATATACTCTGACGCTGAACAAATTTTAAGAGTGTCTAATTTAGTTATTAATTGTGATAATACGAAATAAAGTTGATCGGTTGTAAAACCTGCCGAACATTCAAATTCTCGAATATTTGAAAATATTTGATTTGATGAAGGAGGTAAATAGGTGAAATTAAATACGGGTAATTGATCCGAGTCATATTCGAAAAATTCTTCCACGCAACGAAACTTGATGATATGAGGGCACTTGTTGACAACCACCTTATAAATTTCTTGTTCTATGAGGTAACATTGAAATCTGGTTTTACGTCCACGTTTTCCTCCACAGAATATCCAAAATGATACGGCAAAACTAAATCTAATTATATCAAATGTACTAATGAATCCTAAATATTCAAACATTGGTTTTTTTGTTGAGAGTTTCGGTAACTTTATTCCATGGCGAATTAATAATGAACGTGATTCTTCTGGTAACTTTTCAAGAAAAGCGGCCAGTAATCCTAATGCTTGGTCTCTTGATTCTCGGTCGGTCCTAGTGTTATTATCATAGAGGCTCATTGATTCCAAATTCTTTATTAGCATCGCAAAAGGATCCTTCCATAAGGTGGCCACCGCACTCGCACACCACATTTTATTTACCAACATACATTGGAATAATGTGTTATTATCACCTGGAAGACATTTAAAAATTTCTCCGAGACAATCCGAAATTAGTCCAATTGCCATCTTTTTTTTTTATATGTTATAGAAGGTAATTTAATTATTAAAAGAAATTAAAAAGAAAATAATTCTCACAAAAGACGAAAAGTGTATGGGAAAAAAAAAAAAAAAAAAAAAAGAAAAAAGAACTATGAAATCTATCGCAGTAAAAAAAAAAGTTAATCCTTAAATGTAATATGAGTCTAACTTTTTTAAAGCTGAGATGATCGTCATGTGTGTATTTCTTTTCCGATTTAAGAAATTTTTATCTTTTTTTTTTTTACCCCACCCCATAAAGAACTGCAGAAATAATAACCCACATTAATATTTACATTTAAATAATTGAACAGAATTTACTTACTTTACCCACATGCCTTTATTTTCTTGATTCCGTTTGAAATGCAAAAAGATGCAATACAAATGCATACCCTTGTAAGAAAAAAAAATTTTTTTCACATGTTCACATGTCAAAAAAAAATCCATTGTTGGTTTCAAGGACAACTGCGGCAAAAATAACTTTAAAAAAAGAAGTACATAAATTTAAATTATTGAATGCAAATCGGCTGAAAAGTGAATTGATTTCGATCTCTATGAACCCATATTTAAAGTCACATAAGGCGTCAATAAAAAAAATATGCATTAAACAAACATTGGGATAGAATATTGTAATTTGTGTCTTGAAACATTAAGATTTTCCCGAAATGATTATTTTGGTTAAATTCATAATAAATTTGATTTGGTTGGTTCTTGTCATTAACCAAATAATAGAAATCACCTAATTTCCCCAAGAAATAGCGCTGGAATCCCATTCAAAGAATTTTCCATATTGATTATTTGCTCCGTGTAATCTTCACCGTTACACTAATTTAACCATAATCCAGTAACTTAAAGTTGAAATATTTCTCCCAATTTTATATTTCTAAATAAATAAACAAATTCAACCCAATAATGTAAGCGTGACCTGGAAATACTTGTAGCTCTATAAATTTATACATTGAACAGCGACCCCTTATAAATATTTTCCAAATTAAAGATTATTTGTTCCTTAGCTGGCTAATTCATGATCATGTGATGAGCTTGTTAATCTTTTTTTATGAATCATTCAAAAGGGAGGTATATTCCATCAATACCTCCTAATTTCTTCCAAATTTAGAATAAAAATAAAAATAGATTCGATAATCGCTGGTTTTGAAGAAATTAGAAAACAAATTAAACGGGTTAATTGTGATTAAAATTATCTTCTCAAACAAATAAATATAAAAAAAAAAAAAAAAAAAATCGCTTTTCCGCCAATTTCAAATTTACGCAAAAAAAATAATCGATTTAAAATGAATTTGATATATCGGAACAATATTTCAAATCTCGTAAAAAAAAATATAATGTAAAATTATTCAATTGATAAAGATGGTCCCCATAATTATTTTCAAAATTTAATGGAGTTGCGCCACAAGTTGCAACTCAATTGCGCTTGCGGTGCCCATCTTCAAGAGGCATACCTTATCCTCAAAAGGTGCATGGTGAATTTTCTGTCAAAAAAAAATTGGTGCCAAGTCCGCACATAAATTTAAGAAAATAATCTTTAACTATTAATTAAGTATGAAGGGTATACGGGTTTATCACAACTATATGAACATCTCGAATTTTGATCAAAATCATGGGAAACTTTCACAGAATTCGCAAAAGCGGATACTCTTCGAAAAAACTATTTGATAAATTCACACGTGTTGTGACAAATTGATTTTCGTCTGAAGTTGGAATTCAGACGATCTTCGGATGTCTGAAATTGAGATTCCAAGTTCAATTGGAATTCCAATTTCAGGCACCCTTTTTTGTTATCTGAATTCCAACTTCAGACAACTTATAAAAACTATTTTAACCAATCACAATATGCCAATTTTTTTTTTTTTTTACAGTTAACTTTAAATTTTTTATTTTCAGACTTTAACTTTTAGATGAATTATAATTAAATTTTGCATTTATTTATTAAATTTTTTAGCATTAATTTCAAATTTTATTTTTTTATTTACTTTCTCTTCATTTTTTATTATTTATTTTTTTTTTTAATGTTTTAATTTCGATTTTATTTTTATTCAGTTTTATTGGCAAATAAGTATTCTTATTTTTTAAGTTTATTCTGGTGCTGCGTGGTTTTATTTATTTTAGTTTTCATCTATTTTATGTTAAAATGACATTCACTTTCTTTTAAAACAGCAGAAAACAAATAAAAAAGGAATTCCTATCTTTACGAGTTACCTGTATAATTATTCGATTTTGAAGCTGAAGACAAATTTTAAAATAAAATTACTTAAACTTTTTATAAATATTTTTAAATTTTAATTATAGAATTAATTTTTTTTTATTATAATAGAGTAATAAAGAAAAATAAATAAAGAAACATTTAAAATTGTAAAAATTTTATTAAATAAATAAATTACTTATTTACAGATAAAAGATTCTTCATATTACTTTAATTTTAATTTGTAAATACATAATTTGTATAAATTCAAATATTATCTGAAGTTCAATTTCAGATATCTTATTAGATGACCTTATTTCTGAAATTCAGATTCAGATATATATCTGAAATTCAGATTTTATCTGAAGTTTAATTTTAGATATCTTAATTTCAGACGGTTCATATCTGAAATTCAGATTCTATCTGAAGTTCAATTTTAGATATTCTAATTTCAGATGATCTCGTATCTGAAATTAGAAACATAAAAATTGACCAATAAGATCATGATTGAAATTGGAATTCAAATAAAAAAAAGGATATCTGAAATTGAAATTTCAATTTTAGTTAACTGATCTTTGAATCTCAATTTCAGACACTCAAAAATCGTCTGAATTTTAATTTCAAACAAAAATCAATTTCAGTCACAACATATGTATTTAAAAGTTTAAAATCATTACTGTATCACAAAAAAATCAATTTTTATTTTTTGTATCAATTTAATTGAAAATTCAAATTTATTTTAAAAAATCGCAAACTTTTAAATATAAAACTAACTTATGAAATCTGATTTTTAAATCTGAAAATTGTATTTTAAATTCAATTGCTACCTATATATTCTTTTATTAGCACCTTATTTATTTGTCAATCAAAAAATTACTTTTAAATCTTTTTCATATATAGTTTAAAGTAAATAAAATGTTGGATTACCTTTTTTTAATGGATTATATAAAATCTTATCTCCATTTCATACTATAATCATAATTGTTTGATTTAAAACTATAATATTAAAATCTCATATTATAATGTATTTAAAGTTACGTTACTTTTATATTTTGTAAATAAAAAAAGTAAAAAAAGGAGTATAAAAAAGCAAGTATTAATATGTTCTTGAATAATACCTAAACTAAGAAAATATATACTAATACTTTAAAAAATTTTAAAAATTGATAATTTAATCTTGATCTTGATTTTTAATCTTTAATTGCATCCTATTTTCCTATTTTATTCCTTTAATAAAACATTTATATAATATACTATTTTATCTTCAATTTTAATCATACTTATTTACTTGTAACGTTAAAGTTATTTTTTTACAGACTTTCTTTTTTCTGCTTCTGCTTTATATTTTCTTTGTGTTTAAGAAGAATTTTCTAAGAAAAATAAAGATCTCTGATAGAATAATACTTTTACACAATATATTAAAAATTAAAAAAGATTTTTATATTATTATCTAGATTTTTTATACATCAAGGTACTGAATTCTCATTACTATGTATTTTCTGTCTCTGATGATAACTTCATGTAAGTTTTAATTATGTTTTTTAAGCATTTATTTTGACAAGAATGATATTATAATAATTGTAAAAAAATTTAGCTCTTTTAAAAAAAAAAATCTTATAAAAAAAGACCTTTTCTGATATGAAAACATTTGTATTTGAGTAATTTATGACCTCTTATTAATATTAGAATTGTTTAATATCACATTGAGATTATAAATTATATTTTAACCAGTACTATTATCAGTTGAACATATATTAAAAAAACTTTAGTTCATATATTTGATTATCTTTGATGGCTTTTACACATTTATTATTTACTATTATTAAATAATAAGTATAAAATATAATCATCATAAGGTTGTTCGCAAAATGAAGATTTTTAATCACATATTTTTAATATTAAACTTTATAAGGTAGTACTTATTATTGATATCATCATGTTGTTATATATATTTTTATTTTATAGTATTGTATACGTCATTATTATCATCAAGTATTTGATCATAATTAACTCATGATTAACAATAAAACTAGATTTGTTTTGAAATAAAAAATTACTATATAATTTATCATTAAAAATAAACTTGTAGATTTTACTTGCAGTCTATAAATATTTGGATAATTTTGATTATTGTTAGTAAATGATTAATTAATATTATTCATTAAATTTAAAAGAATATATACATTCATCATATTCATCATAAAAATCCTAAAGTATCTATTATTTTCTCTTTTTAGGTCTATAAGACAGATTTCTTCAAAATAATAAGGATTTGTATAATATTCAAATTTCTCATTTTTCTATAGAATCTTGCAATTTGAAATATTAAAAACCTTCTATAATAAAAGGTTAAAAGTTATCAATTGCCTTGCTTTTAGAAGTATGTATTCTTCAGAAAATATATCTCTATAAAGTAGTAGAATTTTGCTTCACTTCTTGATTAAATTCTACTGCTGTCTCTCTTATTGTTATTTCTTCAGCTGATGTATCTATAATATTATCTGCAGTATCAATTTCAGTACTAATTTTAGAGATTCTGATGATAAATATTTTTACAGATTTATCTATCACTATTATATCAATAATTAAAGGCACTGCTATAACAAAAAGAATAGCTAAAAAA